TATAATAGGTATAAGGACAAAAATATTAGACACGTAAAAGGATTTAATTACAGTCACCAACCGAAAAGGTATACATGTATCTTTAGAGCATCGTTTTAATCTAACATGAATGCTATTTTTTATCATTATTTGCTAATTCCTCTCCCGTATCCCGTGTTCCGTATCCGGTGTATAAGTAGCTACCGGATACGGCGGATGCTCGACCCGGGTTTTGGGATAGCAATCCGTAAATGTGAAAATCATTTGTCATCAAAACCTCCGCACCTTTTTGTATACGTTTATTTTGTTACTAATTCAACCTTTTTATATTATAAAGTTAAAATAATGACTATAATTTATAATATAATATGTATGTCGTATTTAAGGTATCCAATTATTTCCATCACCTCCTCCCAATTTCCCCTCAATAAAGTCTATCAGTTGAACAATTGATCCCCGTCAGTAATTACGTACGAATTGTTAGCGTACACATCCGCTGGCCGCTCGGCTCCATTAAATACATGACCTGGTTTATACGACTATGACGATAAAAGAGAACTGAATTTATAAATAACATAAAAGTTCAGTTTACTTTATATACATAAATAGAAAAGAAACAAAGTTTTTTTTTTATATATTCGGAAAATTACGTGTATAATATTAAATTGAAAGCAAATTTGAAATTATTTAAATTAAAAATGCAACCTTCCTTACATCCTTGTTTTATGTGTTTAATTTTATTAAAATATTTTGTTATATATATTTGGCATAGCTACTGTTTATTTGCAACACGTTTGTAAAGTAATGTTGAATTCAATAATGTTGGAATCAAAAGAAGATATTTAGAAAAACAGCCGCGGGAATGACAGTTACAAAATCTAACCAAGTTGAATTAAACTAAATTAAATTCATTCTTGTTAATTTTTTTACATAATCAGAATAATATGATACTATCACATGTCTAATTTCGTCTGTATTTTAATATATGAATTCAATATTAAAGTTAAATTATATAAAAAGTATATTTAAAATTAAAATAATTTAATAAGATATACCTAAGTGACTTTATTATATGTATAAAACGACTGATTATTTTACTTTCAACCGTGCAATGAATAGAGGTTATTTCTTATTTAATTACTTAATAAACATTATATGGAGTTATAACTTATAATCTTTACTTAAATTAATCCACTGTTTACTAATAAACTAATTAAAACTTATTCACTTGTTCTTAGAAGTTAGAAAGACAAATGACAATATTTAATAATAATAAAATGGCGAAAAAATTATATGAACAGTTTACCGACCAATCAGAGAGCCTTGTTTCATTAGTTAGTTGTCAAATCTAATGTAAAAAAAGTTTGTAAAAAAACAACTAGTACTAAATTAAAAATTAATTAAAAAACATTGTCCAGCGTACAAAATTGTGAATCTAAACCATTCCCAGATCCCCTTGAACACACACAAAAAATTTCATCAAAATCGGTTCAGTCGTTTGAGGGAAGCATTATAGGTATATATAAAGATGAGAATTATAAGGACGTAAGACTTTTATTTATCTGCCATTTCTTATCAGCCCTGGCTTGTTTTACTTTTCCTTTATCTTCCTTCACAATTCACGTAAAAATTAAATATAATAAAATTTCCAAAAAAACTATTAATGTTTATTTATTATGACCAAATTACGTTTTATTTTCTATAGGTTATACTGAAGTTTCGTTTAATAACTAATAGGTAATTGTTAAGGGTTATTTATAAACATCCACATTATTCATTGGGAAATGCTTCATGCACTATCATGCTTTGGGAGGAAAACAAGGAGAGTTATTTCAGACTCTCGTTCTGAAAAGGACGCACTACCGACTAAAACCTCACAGGCGTCCCACGCGCCGCTCTTCTGCTAAGTCATAGGGCCCAGAAAGTGATTTTTCTGTGGTTTAGAAACGGCTGCCCCAAAAGGGATATTTCCAATTCAGTCGGATTCTTCATTTTTGTCAGTGGTACAGACCGTAAGGTGGCAGACTTCCCTAATTCTACATTATCCTAACTAAATCCGATCTATACTTATGACAACAGTTGTCAAACATTAAACAAGTCCTAGGACTTTTTTAATAATTTTGAGTCGTCGAATATATAGTCTGATCGTTACTTCAATGCTTAACATAACACCAAAATATATTTAATTAAACCATTTGTTTATTTCGTAAACATCTCCGTCAAGCAACTTATTTTACATACATTCCTATATACAGGCTAGCGGACCGCCAACCGCAGCCGCTAATACGGATTAATAAATGTTATCACTAATATAATATGCATCGATTAATATGAAATATTCAACAATAAAATTAATTTATAATTTCATAGTAAGCTTATAAGTTATAACACAAAATTTTAGGTTGAAAAGTATGTAACTTAATCATTTGATTCGGAAAAGAAATACAAAAATTATAGGTTGATGTAGATATACACAGAATGATCACTTTCTGACTGCATCAGTGTTGGTGATAACATACTCTTGGAATAATGACTGAAAATTAATGATTCTAAATCTGATAAGTGATAGCTTATACTTGTTTTACATGACACTGGTTTTTAATACTTCTTCTCCAATTGGGTTAGGTAGAGAGAGAAGCTTGGACAGTGGAGGTGAGCGTATAACGCGCGTTAGATAGGGACCTCTTAAACCTACACCTGGGTCACAAGTCCCAGGCACTGTTGAAGCTCCTCTCACTACAACGGTGGACCCGACACACGCACGGTGAATACATTGAATGATGAGAGGTTTCGTCAGATTCCAAATGCTCTCTTACTGCTCAAATAAATATTGACTCAAAAATCCATTAAAATATACAACCCTTCTTCTCCCCCGGATAATCGCGGATGCGGATACGACTCCGGATATCCGTCACGACACTAGTTGTTTGCCCTCAGAATAACATTAGATATGGTAGAAAAATAGTTCCAAGATTAAACATTCATATTATAAAGTCTATTGTCTCTTCTTCGACCTGGCAATTTCCCAGCTTTAGCCAAGGTCTGCCTTACATGTTGTGAATAGTTTTGGCTATTTGCTTTTACGACCGGCCGCCTGCCTGACATCAACGCTCTTTGGGAATGCATTAATCAGTGATGTCTAAATACTCTTAGAAAGTACATATGACTCGGAAAAATCACATTGGCACTAGTCAGGATCGAACCCTCGCCCTCGTGCATGAGAGGCGGACCTTTTAACCACTAGGCCACCACTGACTTTATAAAGTCTATTGTCTATCTATCTATAAGTATATTAGGTCTAAGAAAAATTAAATAAAGAAATATTTATAGCAAACATAAGTTGATCTATTAGACTGCAGAGAGACTTCTAAGTTAAGTAACTAGTAGGTAGAAATTAAACACAAGAAGTTATATAATCTCGAAACGCTACGTGTGTGTGACAACCTCGTACTAAGGGTATAGATTTGATATAACAAAGTTGATTATGTAATTAAAGTTTGATGGTTCAGAGCATAATTAGAAAGAACTGACTTATTATTAGTTATTATTTTGCTTGTAAATACATGTATGTATGTTTTTTCTTAATCACAATGTACATGACAAAAATATATCGTATTGACGCAACACGTCAAATTGATCCAGTGAATAGTCATAATATTAGCGGAAAAAATATGAGAACTGTTGAAAAAAAAGGAATTGTTTTGCTCTTAAATCAGTAGGCCTATTTTGTAAACTGAAAGATATGTTTTTTATAAAGGCAATCTTAATTTTGGCTTTCTGAACTAATATTACTAATATTATTGGTATTTTTCCATATTAATCGATCAAAGTAAAATAAATATTAATCAAATAGAAATCAATAATACTTACTCCTTTCGTTTCGATTAAAGCCATTTACGTCTTGGCCGACTTAAATTGTACTTTATTGGAAGTGACGACAAACAAAATTATGACTTATTTTTTATGTGTTAAGGCTTTTTTTAGAATATTCATTGTACAAACCGAAGCTTATCGCGTGTTGTGACGAAAAACGAACAAGAACAACAAATGAATGTTTTCTCTGTTTGAGGAACAATAAACAACATAACTACGTACAAGTTCTTTATTAATATTCATATAGATTGGCACAAAAAAAACATTTTAATTATAGTAATTTAGTTTTTTTACAATCACATTAAATTCTATTATAATAAATAGAAATAATAAGTATGAAATACGTAATTTATTCATCATCATCATCATCATCACCCTAGCGTTTGTCCCGGTTGTTCGTCCCAATACGTAATTTATTATAATACCTTAATATAATAAAGGAATAAATATACATACCTAATTATAAATTACTAAACAGGTTTCTAAACCACGACAATGAATGGAGATAAAAAATGTAAACAAATATTTGGAGTTTTTATCTTTTTTAAAAGCCGTCCAAAAATAAGTAATTTTTTATGGATATGTATTTACATTAAAAAGAAAAAATATTATTTTATGAAACTTATTATATAGTAAATAAGTACATATTACTAAGTAGGTATCTACATATAACATAGTATGTAGGTATTAAGTACATATAATTACTTCTGTTTTTCAACTACTTTTATATTTATCATACATAGTTTATATAATGTTAGTAATATATTAAAAATTAAAATCTAAAAAATAATACATATTATTATCATAAGACGTGAAAAATATTACTTGACTTTTCATGCTAAGGTAATCCTCTTACCACATTTTACAACAGACACCGTTAGCGATAATTCCTTTCCACATTATAACATAAGACAGAAAGAGATGGAGATACAAAAATAAAATCGACCACCTCACTCAGTACAGGTCGTTGTTTAAAAACTACACTACACTACACTATATGTTCTAAATTCAAATTCATTATGTTTTAAAAACAGGAATGTCCTCACCACAGATGCGTCCGCAATCAATTCACTTTCACTGATATCAATCAACTTGCATCGTAATCAGTCGAGTAGCTCGATAGATTCCGATGCAAGTCTGTTCCGGCGCTATCCGCTTATAATGTTCACGTCTTCCTCCTCTCCTATTTGCAGGATAGCCTTCTGTATGATCCTCTTCAATCTTTTACGTGAAGCATCTGACCGTAGTGTCCTTAGCTCAGATGCAACAAAATCGCCGAATATCTGTTATACACAAAACATTTGCTGATAACGATCGATTACGATTGATTAAGATTAGCATTTCTTTGATGAAGACATCTTACTTTACTACTTAATTACGTATTATTACTATTTTGATCAAGCAAAGGAAATTTATGGGACTCTAAAATTAATTAATTATTCGAGTCAGCTTGGCGGTAATATAATTTGTAGATAGCACCATCAATAAGACACCACTCCCATCACACGAAAACCACTTACACGATTCAATCAGAATGTATAATTATAAAATGTATGAAGTATAATCAATTTTATTCATATATTATAATTTCTATTAACAAGTAATTAATATAATATATATTTAACAATTAATTACAGTTCAATCTAGTAACAATTATATTGAAGGCACGGCAGAGAGTATTATCTTAAACATAAATAGGAAAATCCTTGTAGTGAAAATTAAAACAACTCTCCAATGTCTATTATGATGAGTAAAGATTGTGTCACGACATTTATTACGTGTAATGTCAGTGTCATAGACACGAAGGGTCTACTTATAATGGTTTGTAAACAAAGTTCCTTAACAAATGTGAGTGTCAAGTTACCTGACACTCATCAGCGTTGATCCCTGGTCTTATCCTGGGTTTTGGTTGTTCAGGCCACATCATGGGGTGAGCGCTGGCTGGTAGGGGTGGCGGGGCGGAGGCTGCCACCCTCTGAACAGGCTTCCTTACTACCGGGGAGCCGGGACTAGTCACACGAGCACGGACTAAACCGAATTCCACCTCCTCATCAGCTTGGAATTCCGCTAACTGGATAGTATTGATTATCGTAATTATTATCGATAGTAATTATAAGTATATCGATTACCTAAATAAGAATAAATATATAAAAAAATATAATGTAATAATTTTATGTGTATTTAATTCTAATTAATAGAAGCGTGTTCATCTTCATTATGCAAAACAAACAAGACATTAACCTGTAACAAGAACCATTCCGCTTCAATATCAAACAAATAAAGTCATAACACGTTGTATTTAATATGTACTTTGTTAAAAAGTAGAAATTCAACTACAGCGATGTTCATGATAATAGTCCATTTGCTACAATATGACAGTCACGCGCTAATGACACTGAGTCATGTAACGACCGCGGCCACAGACTCACAACACAACAAAAAAATAAACAACATACAGCCAATGTTATGATGCGTACGAATATAAAAAAAATAACACTGGCAGCCGATGTTTTAGAATGCATATAAAACGGATTAAAAAGAAAAAAACTTGACACATAACAGAACCACGTGAGCGTCGTTCCGCACGTGCGCGGTGACGTCACGCGACATCGATGACGCAATAGTGACGTACCGCCAGATTGACTCCTTCCACGGTGTTGTCGAGGGGGTCGAGGAGGGGTTCCCGCATGAGGAAGGCCAGCGAGTCGAAGTACTCCCAGCCGCTGTTCCCCCGCTCCCCCTCCCCGCCGGCCTGCTTGCGTTTTATCTTCCTCAGCTCGTTATTGAACTGCGTCCTCAAGTTGTGTAACTTCCTGCTGATCTCGTCGCTCGTGGTGTCGAACATGTTCGCCAGGTACTCGTGCTTGGCGTGGCGCGCGTTCTTGTCTCTGTTTAATGGATGCTTGGTGTCCCAGAGCTCCTTGCAGTCTTTTTCAAAGGCCTCGATCAGTTTGAGCGTGTTCTCCTGGGTCCAGTGCCAGCGCGGTTCCCTCTTGACCTGGTTGTCGTTGTCCATGTCGACCTCAATCTTCGTCCAGGACAGCTCGCAGGAGTTGGAGTTCGAATCCATGTTCGTGCCGTACGTAGCGGTGTGATGACCGCTCTAGCGAGACTGCGGCCCCCGCCGGAGAGAGGCGAGAGCGGTGTCGCACGGAGCGGCAACCTCGCGGCCGGTGTCCGCCGGGCGAGGTTGCCGCTCCGTGCACTGATATGAGCGCGTGTTTGCGTTGCAAACAGCTTCATGTAAAATATTCGCAATAAAATACTTAATAAATATTGTTAAATGTTACGCGTTGGTTGTTTATAAAACAATCGAACCTCCACGTTCAGAATAATATATTATTTTATATTTATAAATACAAAATAAATATTATAGCAGGGATATATTACTATTAGGTACTTATATAAATGATTATTAAATGATTAAATTTACTGATTATTCTCACGACACAAATTATAATTGACGTGCTCTAGTAACTTTAAGCAACTCTTTTGTTATCTTATAAAACAATGGTACCTAATATAAAGGGAATAGTAAATATTCTTATGAATGTATGATCTGAGGAGTAGTGTATTAGCGAGTGTTAGCAAACTCACGAGCGACCTCCGCACGAGGTTAAACACAATTAGTACGAAAACATTGTTAAATAGGACAAGAGATATGTCCTCACATACATACATACATGATAAAAGGACGTACGGAGACTAACAACATATTACAAAGAACATTATGTGATATAAAAGTAATTTCATTACGTAAAGGTACTAAAATTAAATATAATTATTCTAGTTCGTACATAGAATAACACTCATACAATGAAAATTATTATAAGATAAAGACACGGAAATATACAAAGCAATAGTAAATATATATACTTTATGTATAATACAAAAAGTAACTGAAATAATAATGTAATAGTATGCTTACCCCAAGTTTGTATCGTCACACTGCAAACAGAGCGTGTCGAGTTCGTAAATTTTAGTAATAACATAGTTTATTGAATGAGAAACTTAAAACGTCTCGTATGTAGTGTGAGGCAAACTCATACTAAGAATCTATACTAATATTATAAAGCTGAAGAGTTTGTTTGTTTGTTTAAAAGCCCTAATCTCAGGAACTACTCGTTCGAATTGAAAAAATATTTTTGTCTTGAATAAATCATTTATCGAAGAAGGCTTCAAGTTATATAGCGGCTTAAAAATGTCTAAAATAAAAACAGAAATTGACGCGGACGAAGTCACGGGCACAGCTAGTATACAATAAAAGCAACGAACTATGTATGTAAGAAATATGAAAGTGTGAATCTATATGTATGTGTGTTTGTCTGTGTAAGTAACACGTGCTCATTGACAGTCTCGTAAATGTGTCCTGTTTACAAACCGTCAGTTTCCGCGTATCGTTGTTTACATTACTATCATTCAGTTTATTGCAGTTCGTCTGTTGTGATGTAAACATCTACATGTTATGTTGTCATATTATCCCTGCTTATAATTTGTAATACGCACTAAATACGAGGCGTTTCAAGTTAATTCTATGAAGATATATGAACGAAGTCAGAAAACGCGTAATGTATAGTATGATGATGTAGACTAGTGGTAAGATTATTGATGTTGTATTCTTAGTTTACACAATTTGTTTTCTGTTTCCATTATAATCGAATGCGTTCCGTTGCTAAATTTAGTTTTTTATTAGAAAATATACTAATCTTTAATCTGACTGTGGATATTTCATTACGTTCGTTAGTTTTCTAAGAACATTTGAGTTTTTTTGCGTAAAAATCTAAGTTATACCTATAACTATTAGGTAACAGCTTCTTAGCTTTGATGAATAATTGTGTTTTTCAAAAATCTCATGTTCTGTTATTGATTAAACGATAAAAAAGGTTGCCAAAGAAACTAATGTATAAAATTTTCATCACGAAAATAAGAGTCTAACACTTGTAAAATGTCCAAAAAGAAATCTTTCTCTATCTTACCAACTCAATCTCTCCATAATATGGACAGTGTGATTAATTGAACACTTGATTAATTCGTCACCAAATAAACTCACTTGTCATTCTCGTATGAAAATAATCACGAGTAACATAAAAGTCAAAATAAAATCACGCTTCATCTGTTTTAGTATTTAATCCGCACATCAATAGTAATCCCTCATAAATGCAATTTAAACCATCCCCCCAACACTTACACTGACCAATTATGTGACAAACAAACACACACGTCGCCAACAAGGGGGGCACTTAATACTTTATAATGTGGACACGTGACGCTACACCATTTGTTATTACAGGCAGTGTCTAAACAGTAATGATTTGATCGTAATCAACATTATATATTATAGACATTCATTCATCATTCGTTCGATATTCAAATTAGTTCGAAATTCGAAAGGAATGTACTTATATTCAGAGAAGAAAGTGGCTAGGTAAAGCGTTGTAATATTAATATTGGTGTAGTTAGAAGTCTGAATCAGTGATTCGTTCGATATTCAAATTAGTTCGATATTCAAAAGGAATGTATGTTCAAAGAAAAAAGTGGCTAAGTAAAGCACTGCAATATTAATATTGGTGTAGTTAGAAGTGTGAATTAGTGATTCGTTCGATATTCAAATTAGTTCGATATTCGAAAGGAATGTACTTATATTCAAAGAAGAAAGTGGCTAAGTAAAGCGATGCAATATTAATATTGTTGTAGTTATAAGTGTGAATTAGTGATTCGTTCGATATTCAAATTAGTTCGATATTCGAAAGGAATGTACTTATATTCAAAGAAGAAAGTGGCTAAGTAAAGCGATGCAATATTAATATTGTTGTAGTTATAAGTGTGAATCAGTGATTCGTTCGATATTCAAAATTCAAATTAGTTCGATATTCGAAAGGAATGTTAAGGAATATTCAAAGAAGAAAGTGGCTAGGTAAGCGATGCAATATTAATATTGGTGTAGTTAGAAGTGTGAATCAGTGAAGCGGCACTAGTCTCGTGTATTAATTAAAACGACCGGAACGTGACGTCACAGAGGAAGAGCAAAGGGAGAGGGAGATGGATTAACATCGGAATAATGAGAGCCTCGCCACGCCCAGGTACAGGCGGCGACAGAAGTGTTACATATATAACAATACAGAATTAACTAGGATTAAACAATAGTTTTTGTTATGATAGTATAAATATTGTAATTCAAAAAAACTAATTTTAAATTTTGCACAAAGAATAATATTTTTTTATACGTTAATACAACAAAATTAATAAAACAGTGTATATCAGTGTCTCCTAATTCATAAATATAAATAACTATATATAATAAATAGTTTAAATGTTTTTGTTGTTGTCTGTACAAGCCACTATCTCTCGAGACAGCTCTCGTGAGGGTGAACGGAAAAAATGTCGCAGCGTGATTTAGACTATCGATATCACCAGGATACTGTGAGAGGGTTAGGTTCAATGGAGCTTAACATATAAAAATAACTTATTTGACATACAAATGTGTATTAGTTTAAGAAAACAAAACATTTCATACGTAAAGTCTAATCTAATTATAATTTGAAATAAATAATTATTATAATCAGTTATAATAATTGACTTTTCTGTTATGTGTATACAATATTTTTTAGTTATTTTATATTGTCTTTATCTTAAACCTATAAAAAGATCTGACTGCGGGAAATAGTTGTGTCTATGTCGTGAGATCAATTTGTTTAGTACCGCAGTCTGTCAATAGATGGCGTTACTAGTATATTTGTCGCAGTAACCCGCTATGAAGGATTGCTGTACTTAATTTATAAATATTTCTGTTTTGTTTTACTGTCGGTCTATAGTGTTTACTAAAAAGACGTTTTGTATATTCGTTCATACTAATCGTGAAACACGATTCGTGACAATTATCGAAAATCGTCACAAGTAAGAATAAGTAAGTTGCAAGAATAACTACGATAAATTCGACTGAAACTCGTTTCATTACAATCTCCTTATAAAATTAATGATTTTAAATGCGATTCTACGAAGCACCGAAACGTAAAATAATTCACCGACAGGCATCTTCAAAAAACTAACTCGAGCCGCATATCTGTATTACGGCGGGAACGAGCACGCAAAAAACGAGCGATACGAAAAAAAAAAAACAGGCAATCTCGGAATTTATTTTAGAGCGGCGCGGCGACGTCTCGAAGGTGGTTATTTATCGCACGCCCTCTCTCATTGCTTCAGCGGGCCGCGGACTAAAAACAACACACATTCACTTATATTTTACGAAAATTAACCTTATCCCATTGTATTTATAGTAACATTTTAATGAGCTGGCAACATTATTACGACGTTAGAGAGCGGACGAGAGGCGCTAGTAATCATTCGGTGTCCGCGACCAGTTCGTCTTATCGAATAATGTGTACGAATTAATATCGACCATATTACTATACAAATAGAGTTTATATTAGCTGTGACGGATTTGATTCGTGTTCCTGACGGCGTGGTACAACGATAATGAATTGACATCGAGCGAGGAACAAGTTCGAGGCGATACGTTCGAATGAAACGTGTCACTTACGACGGAACTGTCCGTATGATGTTAATACAGAGATTAATTACAATACAAGTTAAAACTATCAACGGATATCGACTATCGTTCTGACCTCAAATACTTTTTGAAAGTAAAGCGATCGTACTGACCGTATTGAGTTTATAACAGAAATTCACAAAATTCATAGAAAATGTTCTCTAAAAGATATTAAAAGTCAACCACAAAGTTGAAAATCCTTCGTTAAAACAACACAACTTGTCTACCTGTTGAATGTATCTCCAGTGACCGTGATAGTATTGATTACATTATTATTATAGACTCAAAAAATAATATAATTTTAGTAATATATAGGTTTGAATACCATCAATACTAATATTATAAATGCGAAAGTAACTCTGTCTGTCTGTTACACTTTCACGCCTTAACCACTGAACTGATTTTAATGAAATTTCTTACAGAGATAGAGTTGACCTTGAGAAAGAATATAGGATAGTTGTTATCCCAGACTTTTGAAAAGTTCTCTTGGAAACGCGATATAACCGAACTCCGCGCGGGCGATG